TAAAAAAAAATTGTGAAAAAAATGTTGACCTTTTCTGCTTGGACAACTGTCCTTGGAAATCCATCAAGAATAAAACCTTTCTGACAAGAGGGTTTTTTCAAGGCATCATCAATTATCCCAACAACCAAATCATCAGAAACAAGTTCTCCCTGGAAAATAACAAGACCACTTAGTTAAAGAAAATATGTCATTTCAAGATGTAGTATAAGAAATCATGGTATTTATCATTTCAGGATGAAGTATTGGGAAAAGAAATCTACCTTTTCCATGGTCTCTTTGGCTTTGACACCAAGGGGAGTCTTTGCAGCAACAGCAGCTCTAAGCATATCACCAGTGGCTAGATGGCACAAACAATATTCATCCTTAATTATTGGTGACTGAGTTCCTTTGCCTGATCCTGGTGGACCTGAAAAACCAAATCAAGAACACAAAGCATCACAAAAACCGAACATTACAAAATTTGTAAAGGATCAGACCGCTTGGAGAAAGATCACAAATAAGATGAACTTAAGAACTCGCATTAAGAAGGAACATGTTTATCTCCTATATCTTAGGATTGCCGATACACGGAAGTACATGACAGACGAACATAATAGCACTTACAACCAAGACATAACTTAATCCACCTCATAATAAACAAGAATGGCGATTTCGCTAACATATCTGAGCGTACAGAAAATTTTATCAATATATTAGCTGCAATTCTTAAATGCTTAAACAACTCACAATAATCATAAACTGAAAAATAAGGTAATGATGCAAGTATCCATTATTCTTCCATTTTTTGACAAACAATCATATCTCTACATGCCCATCCTACATTTCGAAGCAATCTTCAAACCATTTAAGGTAATTAACATTCGAACAATACACATATCAACTGTATTATAGTGCTTCAACTTCAAAAGAATGCAATGAGCAATGGCAAAAGAAAAAGTTTCGAGAAACGTAAGGTGTACATTTCACGTAAGGAACTAGAACTAGCCATATACAGGATAAAAGACAAGTTCATCAGTACCAATCCAATTAACACCACATCAGACAAAATTGAACTTAAAAAACAAAAAAAGAAATCCCCCAAAAAATACCATGATTTACAAGTGCAACTAAAGACTACAACTCTATTAACTATAGTGGATAACAACTGCACAAAAATTTGATCAAAACGCAATAAGACCAACTCAATTTGGGAACTCAGCCACACCTGGTACTAGCATTTATCTAAAAGTTCAACCCACTTCAACCATACAAATTCAACAACTCTAAAACCCTAAACCCAAAATATGCGGACAAGAACAAAGAGACGGAGGCATAGAGGGGAGAGAGAGAGAGAGAGAGAGAGAGAGCAGCAGCAGCATACCAACGAGGATGAGGCGCTTGTCGGGTTTGTTGGCGCATTTCATACGGCGAAGGAGCTCCGTCATGAGATCCACAGACTGCACATCCTCCAGATTCGGCGTAGCGGCCATTCTCAAGCAGCTTTCGTTGTTTCGTGGTCTTTGTGGTGGGTAAGGAAATCTCAAGTCTGCGATGTAAATTCTTTGCTTATGTTTCGGGAGTTGGGAATTCGGGCCTTCCAATGCTTCAAACTCGAGCAGACGCAAGTTGAGGTTTATGTTTTAAATGGCTGTCTTGTCCCTCTCATTTTTTTTTTGTTTTCATTTAATATATTTTGTTGCAATAATGAATTGGGCTTGATTAATTTCTACGTACTCAATCATGTGCAGAGCACAGATGATACAATTGAAATATTATATGTTACTCTCTCTATTTTAAATTAATTGTCTTTCTAACTCAAAAAACAAAATTACGTATTAGAAGGAAGTCGTTATCTTACTATCATTCTATTCCTTACCAGTTTTATAGTTATCGGTTTAAATCTTCTAAATCTTGTATAATTTTTTCTCTCTCCTTATAATTTTGATAGTAAATTATATATGTAGTTCCATTATAGTTATCTGTTATGTAACGTAACAAAAAAATATAATTAGCAAACTGTGTTGAAATGACAATTAATCTACAGATTTTAGGATATTAGATAGTTATAAACCTAATTAGTACATAGTTATCCAAAATGACAAATAATAAGCAAAAAGAAGTTTACACTCAAACGACAATTAAAATAAAACGGAGGGAGTATATATGTATGTATTATTTAAAATTATAAGTTAAATAATGGGCATAACAAATTTTAAAATTTGATTATATTAAAAATAAACATATAAAATAAATGTAAATTATATGACTACTAATGAATTACTATATTAATGATATAAAATGTAAATGATAATGAAATTTTTAAAATTTTAAGGGATCGTGATTAATTAAGTTGCTGAAAATTTTTAAATTTATTTTATTATTGTTATAAAAATTGTTTATGTACTTTTAGGGGTTGATTATTTTGCTAAAATCAATTAGATAACTTTAAAGAAAAATCGCTTAATAAGATGAAAAAATAATATTGATTGTAAAATAAATATTTGAAGCAAATGTATTGCAATAGAATTTTCAGTAAAATATGTGACTTTCATATCACCATGCTAACCACTATTTTTGAAACCCGGACTGGCCCGAGGGTGACCGAAGACTTGGTCAACCGGAGCAAGGCTTGGTCCGTGTGAGTCTTTTGAACTGAGCAACAAGTAGACCAATCAAACCCATAGTGACTCGGTCAAAACGCAGTAGACCTGGGGCATTTAATCGGTCTAGTCAATTGGTATAACCATGTTGTTTGTTTTATATTATTAATTCCAAAAAATAAAAATGTGCATATATTTATGACGAGATACAATATTATTAAGACTTTTAGGTGTAAAGTTACATGTAAATTGTTTGTTCATGTTATTTTCTTAAGAATATATATAATTTCTAGAATTTAAATTGTATATACTTATAATATACTCCCTCCTATTTTTATTATTTGTCACTTTGGCTTAATTGATCATTGATTAAATAAATGTCGTTTTGGCTATTTTTTTTCATATTTTTCAATTTTTCATCCTCTATCTAATACACAGTGTCTCTTCATATCCCATCTCCATTGTTTCCTATAACATCCATCAGATAGGGTTAATATTGATAAGAAAAAAATTTCTTAATTAGCATGTTGCTTCTCAAAACGACAAATAATAAAAATAGAAGGGAGTATGTGGTAAATATTTCATATGAGAGAGAATAATATTATGAATATTTAGGAGTAGAATGACCTAATAATTGTTTTTTTGGTTAATTTTAAAACTATTTTAAATTTTAGAATAACAAACTTTTTTATATACCTTTTTGGTATATATTTATAATGAAAAATATTAATATTAAGACTTTAAGTTATATATTTTGTTATAAAATATTTAATTTTTTTATATTCTGGCAATTCATAAATATATATATATATATATCTATATATATATAATTTTTTATTTTTTAAGAATAATTATTAAATTCTGCAATTTATTCGATGCCCTGTTACTTATAAGTGACCAAAGCTAATAGGTGTCCACATTCACAACATTGATTCTAACTAGTTATATTGTTTGAATTTAAGTGAGTAAAAACAAATTACTTTTCCACTTGATTTGGCCTCTTGAAATCATAATTGCTAGTGAGTGAAGTCAACAAGTGATATTCATGACAATATAACGCGAATCATATTCCTTTCTCCTCAAAAGTTGTGAGAATAATGCTCTCGTAAAGTATTCATAGCTGCAGATAACATTTTATATACAATGGTACCTACATAAATAAATTTAAGAACTTTGTTTACCCCATTGATCTTTTTTAATCTTGTCCACATTATGCAAAGTAGATTCTGGTTGCTATAACAAACAATTTCCAGTTGATACCTAGATCTAGTTGTGATTTGAGCAAATGAATTGTCTTATACTGTCCTAAAAGATGACATATAGTTTGACATAATAACACATGTCATGATCTTGTTACTCTACACATCTCATGACTTATAAATTAACAACTTAAACAAACACCTCAATTTCTATAATTCATTATATCAAATTGGTCACCTTCCTTTTATTTCTGATCACGTTCCTCTTATTTCTTATCTTATTTTTATGGAAACAATACCTTACTGCAAACATTGTCACACATTCGTTATTATATTTATACATTTATGTACGAGAAGTAATCTATATATCTAATAATTTGGTCTATAGGTTCTAGGTCCTAAATAGTAAAATAAAAAGTATTTATAAATGTTGTTAACTTTTATGTTTCAACGCATTTGTAACCATATAAATTATATGCAAAAATATAAAAATATTGCACAAAATTTTATTTTGAAGTGTTGAATTTACAATCTCCAATTATTGCATTTTTTTTTCCCAAAACGATAAACATTCATATCACAATAAAATTTACAAAATACAGTTCGGAGGCTAAATAGCCAAATGTAACCCAAACAAAACAACAGAGACCTACCAACAAAGAAGGTCTAAACTCCCCTACACAACAAGACTCAAACATATAAAGGTAGATATCATGATACCTTCACTTGCACTGACTCCATATTACACAAGAACAACACTATACACTGGGATCAATACACATAACCAACATAACAAGGTAAATAGCAGTGAAATAAAGAAGAAAACACTATTGAACCACAAAAGGACCTAATGACCTTCAACTTCCTCACTGCTATTCAATCCCATGTCTGCAAGATTTGAACTCCATCCAATCACTTTGTGTTGCCCTCAGAATAGCATAATCTGGTATCCACATGGACTGAAATTTCCAGAGATTCCAAGCTTTCCATAACCACCATAAAATGTAAGTAGTCAACTCAATCCTAGATATTGAAATCTCTCCCTTGTCCACAGAGAAAATATGTCCACACGATTGCTTGAAAGTACTTGAGCTAGCAGCTGTTGTCCATTGAACCGGGGCTAACTTCCAAATTCTCTGGGCTCTATCATAGTGTAGCAGTATATGTTTTATTGATTCCAAATCCTCACCACGGTTATGGAAAATTGGATCCACCTCAAGTCCTCTCTTTTTCAGTTTCAAACAAGTAGGAAGGGTGTTATTGCAACACTTCCAAATTAAATGCTTGAGTTTATGCTTGACTTTCAGTTTCCAGCTTCTACATCTGAGTGATTTATCTTTCTGAGCAGATTCACTGCCCTCAGCAACATCCAAATCCAAGAATTTGTTCAGAACCAAATGGGAATATGAGCTACCAACAGAAAACTTACCTTTAGAATCCAACATCCATTTCCGTTTATCTGGCAATAGAGAGTCCAAAGAGCTAATAGTCAGAATCTTCTCAACATCTTGTTGGTGAAAACATTCCTCCAACAAGCTTCTGTTCCAGGTTTTCCATCTTCTTGGATAAGGTCTTTAACCTATGTCACTTTGCTCATTCATGCTTCATTCTTGGTTGGCAGTCCATCCTCTTTCCCAGGTAACCGTGGATCAGTCTATATGTTGATGTTTCTTTCCTGCCTTACTACCACTTTAAAATGATTTTTAAATTTATCTTTGACTCCCATCCAATTACTCCACAACCAAGATACATTGTAAGGCCTTTTTGCTTGCAAGATAGAGCAGTCATGAAAGTATTTTCCCTTTGAAACTCTAGTGACAAGCAAATTGGGATGAGTGACTAACCTCCATAACTGTTTGAGGATGAGGGCTTCATTAAACAAAATCACATCTCTGAAACCCAGACCTCCCACAACCTTTGGCAATGTCAGGTTGTTCCCTTTTTTCCAGTGCAAACCAACCTGCGTTTCCCCCTTACTCGATAAAAAATCAGCAGACAATCTAGCTATTTCTTGGCACACTCCTTTGGGAAGGCAGAAGCATGACATTGAGAAAACAGGGAGAGCCCCTAGGACAGTTTTCATTAAAACTTCCTTGCCTGCAGCTGATAGAAACTGATTCTTCCAGCTCACCAATTTATCTCTCATTCCAATTATTGCGTTTGATTTTTCTCTTTTTGGACTTGGATTTGAATCATTGAAAATGGTTTCGCCGTTCGAATCTTCCTCGATCTTGAGTCTGAACTAGTGTTAATGTTGGGGTCGAATGAATTATTTCCGAATTGAACTTCAAGACTATATTTGATTGGAAAAGACTTTTCTTGCGGACTTTCTTCTCTGATCTTTCCTGAAAACGAACTTCAATAATGTTAATTCGAGGGCTTGAAAACTTTTTTCTCAGATCAAATGCTATGTTCCTTAAGCTCCTCGATGCATGCAACTTGAATATCATCTTCAACATCGTTGATATTCTTGGCTTAGACTTGACATGAGTGGGTGGCGCATCATTAGTTCTTGGAGAGCAACTGCCTTCGCTTACACTGGACATGAGTGGATGGCGCATCATTAGTTCTTGGCGCATCAACGTAATTCCGAGGTTCGAAGGCTTGACTATGAATTGAATGTCAGTATTCAAATTGAATGCCTTTGGATCTCAAGAATGACTTCAAATGTTCAAGAGCGCCTTGAATCTCCCTAGGAGAATTCTTTAGAACTCTTTAAATTATGAGGTGTCTACAAATGCCTCATTGAGACTAAATCATGGACGAAATATCTTGGTAGTGAATGAATCTCAAAATATTATATTTCATTGAGACTTGCATATTGTTTAAGCTCTTATTTAGAAGTTCTTCAACTAAGATTTGTAAATAGTTTAAACTCATATCAAGGAGTCTTGATTTGATTTGGTGAATAGTTTATAGTCGTATT